TGATGTTGTTTTTCTACATGGCCCGTGGCGCGGCGTGCTTGGAGTGGAGAGTTGGATTTGTCATGCTTTCCTTGACAGGATTGTGCCAATGTAAAGGTTGAAAGGTTCCCTGATTTAGACTCAATGACATCTGACTAAATTTTACATTTCTACCTTTGCGCCTGCGTTCTGCGTGCAACCCTGTTCATCCAAGGCTTGGCCTTCAGTTGGTGTTTTGCTCGAATCCGCTCGTCGTTTTGGACCACCATCATTGAGAGCAAACTCAGAGAGCAGGAGTCGGGTGACAGCCTTGATGTGGTTCCTGGAAGAAATTGAGGGGAGATCTGCCGGATCAGCACCTCCAGATGAAATGGAGAACGATGAAGTCACAGAGGACGAGTACGAGTTGGAGAGCACTTCAGCCAGTGAACATTTTCAACAGAATGAACATGCTGTTCCCTGGCCAATTCCCGAAAATGTTGAGCATCATGTTTGGCCACGGCACTTGGAAGACTATTCCGTCGAGGACACTATAACTTGGCTTTGTGCACGCAGTCGGCAGCTTGGCCACTTGCAAGGAAAGCGTGTGATTCGCTTGACCCAGGGCCAGTACATGCTTGCAGTCTTTGTCAACAACCTTGTTTACAAGCTGGAAGCCAATCCTGACGGCTCCTTGGACCCCAGCATCGTGCGATCGTTGCTGACCTCTGTCGGAGCGGAGTCACAGCTCGACTCCGTCGCATCCTACGACCTGGTCCTGGCAGTCGTGGTCGCCCATTTCCGACGGCAGACCGAGGAGCCGGAAGAGCTGAGGATCCAAGAGGTCCTCCGGAACCTTCTCATGGCCAAAGCGCTGGGGCGTGGACAGGGGCGCCGGCATGCTTTGCGGAAGAGCATCGTGGAATTGCGTAGTTGTGACCATTTCCTTGTCCCTTTCGTGTTCAGGTTGACCATGATGTTTGACGTCCAGCTGTGTGTTCTATTTTGCTTTTCCCAACTTAAGCTGCTGAACTTCTCATATCATAGAGGCATATAGAGGCAACTAGGTACTTGTGACTCCAAACTACGCCCAAACTGGACGATGGAGAAACATGAAAAACATCGTTCCACGTTCGCGGCGATGAACGTGTTGCCATCGCCGTGGCGCCCGAGGCATCCTGGGCCTTCTGTGGCGCCACCCGAGGCTTCGCGGGAAGATCTCACACGTGTGCCGCGCTGGGAGCGTGGCTTTGGCCTTGGACACGAGCTCATCGGACCATGACATCATCCTTTGCTTGAAGGATGGAGGTGGGGTGAAATGATAAAAGATAATAAAGAAAAGAAGAAAGGATGCCAATAAAGTCTTTGTGAGACGTGTCCTGAAAAAGCATCCCTCGAAGAAGTGCCGAGTGGTCGCAGCAATCGGACTTGAAAGATTTTACCATATGTTACCAATGCACTTTTTTAAGGGTATTATATATTTGCAATACCTTACAAACAATGTTCATTGTTGCGTTCACAGGTTGAACTTCAGAGAAATGCTAGGCCTCAGAAAGACCCGTGGAGATTCATGTGTGATTGCTTCCCAGCTCCCAGGACGGAAAGCCTCAGGTTAGCTGGACTCACTAAAAACGGTCAAGTGGATGGTTGATGTCAGCCTGTGGGTGACCGCAACACACAGGACATATTGTGAGACACACCCAGCCTTGGACAGGTGTGAACATGGTGGAGGAGCTGCATCAGGTGATTTTAGACCTGAAGAAGACCTGTCACCGAGAACGCTTGCGACGCGCGGAGGCACGGGACCAGCGTTTGGAATGAAAACGAGGCTCGTTTGAGCCGAGCGTTGTGGTGCATATAATCTTAGCACAAGTTGGTGTTCATTACATAGACACCCATTCAGGAACCTAAGTGAGGCTAGTCTCAAAGCTGCTCATAGCACAGCCGACGGTCCAAGGACTTTGAACAGACATTCATGCCCCCCAATATGGAAACGACAAGCGGCAAGACATGGATTTTGGATCATTTGTGAATCATCAGGTGATCAAGAAGGGAAGAGTTATACAGGAGCAAGGACGCTACGAACGGGGCTCCCGGCCTTACTACTAGGAGCGATCGGACGCTACGAGGTAGGCATCGCTGCGAACGGGGCTCCGTCTCGTATCAGGTGGTCAAGAAGGATTTTGCCGTTGAGATTAAGAATTTCTACCGCCACGTGGATTTCGACCTGGTGCCGGTGACCCTTGTCGAAGGCCACACAGGCGGGATGGAAGCACAAGAGCCCACGATGGACATGAACACATGACACCAATGGCGTAAAACAACTGAAACAACTCCCATGGTCCAGCCGTCTCAGGGTCTCTAAGTGTATCTAAGGGAGCAAGTGGGGGAACCAATAGAGCCCGCCTTGGCCTGTGGTTTGCATGTCTCCTCACGACAGGCGAGCAGCAATGGGACGTTCAGCGCCAGGTCTGGCAAGCCTTGTTGCACCCTCGCTTGGCACCGAAGCTTCAGCAGCTGAGCGAAGAGCATCCCGATGCCTGGACCAAAGTGGGAGAAGCTTTGGCGGTTCTTCTTCTCTTTTGTAGCGTGGTTGGTGGACGGCAGAGACGGCGGTTTCAATTGGTCGGAACATTCCCACATGCCACTCAGTACTGAGGACGTGTTCTTTGCTTTGCGACTGATGAAGATTTGGAATGAATCCATGGACTACCGACGTGGCAAACCTCCGTTGGTTACCTTGCATATTCCTTTGTTGACGCTGGGCGCCTGGCAGCAAGGCTACTTTAAAGAGTGCCGATTTGTTCAGGACCTGGGTGGAATTGTTGAGGCGGCGCAAAGTGCCCCACCCGTTGGGTGGAGATCCCTCTTTAGGACTGCTTTTAATGAACAAAAGCAGCAACTATCTTCTTTTGAGATGTTTTAGTTACTGTATTCAAAAGCGATTGCCTCCAACCTGAGAGCGATGGCCTCCACAAAGGGGGGAAATCCCTCTTGAGGACTACTTGTTGCAGATCTTCCGGTACACCGAGCAGAATTGGCTTCGTCAAGACCTGTCGCAGACGGAGACGATGCTGATGGAATTGGAGGCGGAGCCACACCTGCGGCGGATGATCGCGAAGTACGACGAGGACACCCGACGGCGATTTAGTCAGGCACTGAAGAACAGCATCCAATTGATGAGCCAGGTCTGCGATGGGGAGAAGGCGGGATTTGTGGAGCGGCTTTTGGGCAGAAAGAAGTGCTTGGGCGGACAGATTTGTTGCTCATGCTATAGGACTCTAGGACCCGTGTTCAGGCGGAAGCGGATGCCAATGTGCAAGATCTGGTGGATTTACTTCGGCAGATCTTTGGGTGCCAGCCAGGGCAGCCGTTGCTGTGCCGCAACACCTCCAGCAAATGAGTGGAAGAGTCTGTGACAGAGAAGTCGGAGCGTTGGGCGAGGTTTTTGCTTGAGGGGAGCCGAAGCCAGTGATTCCACCTGGCCAGTGAAGCCTTTGGAATGTTCTTGTACGTTCCAGCTGGAAGCAGAAGACCATCCAATTGCATTGTTAATTCGTGGGGGCAAGGTGGCATGATGACACTCTCGAGGGTGCGCTTAAAGAGGTCGCAGGCAGCAAAGGGGAACTGTGCGCCCAGCAGGGGTGGTTGCGCATTGGCCAAGGTGACCAGAAACGTGTCTGGTGGGAAGATATAGGGAGGCTATGGTAGTCTGAAGAATCTAGGGGCAGACAGGGAGCAACGAAGCCGCAGGGGCCTGACGGATAATCATCTGAAGCAAGTACAATCGAACGGTCCATTCATTAGGTCTTCCGAAAAGAGCTGTGTGTCAAGACATTTCTCACTTTTGTCAGGGTGTTTTTGACCTTCCCTAGAGATCGCTTTTCTCTGCGACCCCTCCCCTCCTCTTTGGCTCTGCAAGCTTGGCCATGTATCAAATGTTTCACGAAAGGGCACACGGTCAGAGGCAGTCGATGAGACAAAAGGTGCTTCGGAAGAACGAGACAAGATTTGCATGGATGCCTTGCAAGAAAAACTTTGGTGCCCCAATATTGAAGAATGAGTGATTCAGGGTTGCACAGGTCAATCTATATTCTAAATTCATGCGCCGTGTCCAATGACGCACGTCGGATGGAGACAAGGCGCTTGCAAGTCGACGTGAAGTGAATGATGAGAAGCCAACTTTCAAACCGCGCGCCATGAGCTTGGGCGTTCCCAGCTCAAACCCTTTGACTAAGCATTCACCCGGCAATATGTACATGGACAAGGATTAAAGGTTCCATTTTTTGACGATTCTTGATTCCCAGAAACTACGGTCAGCTGCCATATCCCTTGTGGAGAGTTCCTTTCGCACAGGCTGGGTGGTGAATCAGATCTAGGTGACGACGATCGGTGGGCAGAGGACCACAGCTCGTTGCCACCTTCCCTAGGTCACAACCAATTTTAAAGATGAAGAAAGTGCAACAGATCTGGAATGTTTGAATCTTTTCTCACGTGATTTTGTTTTAATATATACTTAGATGATTTTAAAAAAAGCAGGGCCTTCCCCCCCTTCATTCCGCCTAATTGTTCAGAAGCTGGGCCGGCTCGGACCGGAGGACTCGGACTTCGGCCTCTCGGAGCGGCAGCTGGAGGAGGTCGCGCGCCACTGGCGCTCCCAGGCGAAGCATGGCGAAGCGACGTGGCGCGTGTGGCGCGTGGCGCGAAACGAATCGGACACAACTGGCCTGGCCCTACAGTTATCCTCTCTTCGGTGTCGGACTCACCTTTCTTTCCAAGAGCCGGAGAGTTTGTCTTGGGTCGTTGGATGGCGACTTGCAGGCAGGCGATGCTGGAGATCCCGGAGGAGGTTCGTCAGATGCCGAAGGAGCCACTGCCATTTTTATTGCGCGGGAGGCAGTTCCTGGAGGACGCTGCTGGTGTGGAGCTTGAACCTGGTGAACCCAAATTTCCACCCAGCCTTGTCCAAAAGACGAGTTCACCAACTGGTCGCCACAGAAATCCGAGGCCCAACTTAGCCTCTTGCAGTTTTCCTCCTGTGCGGATCTTGGCCTTTTGCACCGGGTGTCGTCTTGATGTCGTCTTGATCGCCGCTGCGACTCGGTTCCCACTCGTCAAGGTTCCACCATGTGCTCGCCCATCACTTCAGTGCCGGAAGATGGACGCTTGGCGCATGACATCGCTACTAGGAGCAAGGACGCTACTAGGGGCTCCTGGCATCGCTGCTCGGAACAATGATGCTACTAGGGCCTCCTGGCATCGCTACTAGGAG